AGTGTGAACAAGCAGACAAAAAAATCGGATTTGATCAAAAAATCGGAATTGAGCATTAAGACCTGCAGTGTGAACGTAGCCTAATTATGGCTTGTGATGGTTAAATGGTTGCCCAGAGTTGAGGCTGCTGCACACTCATGGCCGCTTATGATCACAAAGTGATTGCACCCGAGCACAACTCAAGTGGACTCAACTCAACTGGCTGCCAGCTGGTTGTATTGTTGTTATGTTTCTGCAGAATACAAATGTTTCAGAGTGCAAATGTAAATATTAAATGTAAATTTCTGTCTATGTAGAGAGCAACAGATATGTGATTTTTTGATGCTTTATTGCAGTTAATTGTTGTATTATCAGAAATAAATAGGATATAATTGTCATAAATTGACCCCATACATTGCAGACAGATATGTGAGTAATATCAGACCGCTATCAGATGGATTCCATTTTATGGGAACATGTATTGCAGTTTTAGTGACAGTATTGGTATGCTTGAATATCTTATTTTTCAGCAAAAAAAATAACTGAAGTGAGAAAACATGATTAATCACAATATATATTACTGAAATACTCAGCATATCATGAGTTAAGTATTGTGATAATATTGTATCATTAGGTGTCTGGTGATTCTCACCTATAACCTCTTCCCTGTGTTTTTATGTACCTGTCTGGGTTTGTAATTTTAAGCTGATGCCTCCTGTGTCCCACATCTGGGCTCACCTACTTCTGAAATAACACTGAACTGAGGAGGCCTTAACTTCAGCTCTGGACATACTGCTATAAGGGTGGATTGTAGGCTGAATGTCAGTTAGCATTTGTCACAAGTAACACCAAGAAAAACTAACAGTACCTGACAGCAGCTCGGGCTGCACTGGCAACAGGACCCAAAATAACACACAACACACACAGACACACACTCCTCTCCATTACACATCTGTATACAGTGGTCCCTCGCTATATCGTGGTTCACTTTTCGCAGCCTCGCTGTTTCGCTGATTTTTTTTGGTGCAATTTTGCATGGTTTTTTTTGTTGGTTTTTTTACAGCGCATTGTGTTCTGCGTCCTGATCGGCTGTAGACCATTTTCATTCAGTCTCGTGCCGTGTCTCCTGTACAGTACAGAATGCATCCAGCTTGTCAAATTTAAATCTTCTGCTAGCAGAAGTAAACAAAAACAACAGTGTTGACGTCAAAGGATTATAAGGCGCATTAAGTCAGATAAGTCAAACTTTACTCAACTCATTCTTCTTGCTTCCTCTACTTCCGTACCATTGATTCATTAATGTTGTATTCTCTCGCAGCTGCTCTATTCCCAGGGTCTGGGCCTGAAAACAGAGTGTGATCTTTGGTTTCATTCTATAATACTGGATGTATTTTTCTTTGAGAGAACTTTGAGAGTGTTTAAACAAGAGAAAAACGTGTGGAAAATGTCGATGCCTGTCTGAGAAAAGTATATAAAGTGTGTAGTGAGGGATTTTACAGCCTTGCAACATCTATAATAATTGCAAAAAGTTCGCTACTTCGTGGATTTCACCTATTGCGGGTTATTTTTTAGAACCTAACACCCGTGATAAAGGAGGGACCACTGTAGTGTAAAGGAGGGCAAATGGAAAGTCCATATGAAACAAAAAGATGCATAGTAGTATAGAGAGATCGATGTTTCTGTCCTCGTGTTAGCATTATGTATGCAATGTTCGCCGCATGTTTAAGTCCTCAGAGAAACCTGGACTTACATGGGAAGTTGTATGTGAAACAAGCCTGGGCAGCTATTATCCACTCTGCTCGTGTCTCACAGAAGATAGCGATGTTGGTTTTAGGCCGCTGCCCCAACGCCGCCAGACCACTGCCCAGATGGGAGGCTGCAGTGAGGGTGTCCTTGTAGGAGAGCCAGCGGTACTCGCCCAGAATTACCTGCAGGGGTGTTGGAAAGACGGGAGGCCGGAGAAAGACGCATAAATATCTTGCTGTCAAGTAAGAGAAAACTGTTTCCAGTCTCAATGAAGACAAAGTATAAGTGTTAATGGGTTTTATTCATTCATTTTGTCAAAATATACAGGGTTTTATTAAAGAAACAGAGCAAGGAAAATGATGAATGGTAAGAAATTGAAAGATGGAATAATGCAAATCTATTATCTCCTTAAAAAAGCCACTGAACTGTTGCAAAGCCCTGCTCCTGTGTCCCATCCCACAGTCACATGCTTGGCCTGTTCCTTATTAAGAAGTCACAGGAAAGGGAGCAATTGTCCACTGTTGCCAAACAGAAGTACTTCCTCTTGCTGTCATTCTCATGCTGCTGCATGTCACGGTCATCAGCTGCACGAGAGAAAGATAAGCATAGGCTTCTGGATATTCTCTTCACCACTCACACATTATGTTCAGAGAGCTGCCTGCACATGTATTAGTGAGCTTATACCGGCTCCTAATGGTTAATAAATGTCAGTGCACATAAGCACGCAGAAGGACACAGAGCCACAGCGACTGCACGGTGCTGTTTTCCACTGGTTGGGAACAATAGCTAGCTACACAGCCTAATTATGCACTATTGCAGCAATAAGTGTTTCAACAGTGGAGATTCAATGGATTACAGGGATCAGGCCACTGGGTTTAATGATGTAATTCACAAGTAACATAAACACCTAACTGTGCAGGCACACTGAAGAAGAAAACATATAGCCAAAAATCTTGAAAGCAGAAGTCTTCTTCCTTTCTTTCTGCTCCAATTTACACTAATTCTGGATTGATAACAAATACTTTTTTTTACTGTTTTGATTTTGCTACTTTGTATTCATACTCTATCCTCTGTCCTAACATTTGCAAGGTTGAAGGGAATAAGTGGTCTAGTAGACAAGCTGTCAGCTGAAAGAGTAGCAGCATCTGGAAGTGGATTTTAAACATTTTAAACATTAACAAGAGGTTTGTCTAGACAGCAGGCCAAGAGAAGTCACAGAGGAACATTTTGAAGACATTTGGAATTTTACAAACTTTATTTTTTAGAATATGAAAAATGTCTAGCCTCCTCTTTTCCTCATTAGTTTCTGAAAGCTGTACCCTTGACAGCTTGCCTATTGATTGACATCTCAGAATCCTTCTGCTCTTTGCCCAGTCCCTATCAGAGGCTTCCTTTCACTGACTGACACCCTGTCCAATATGGCTATGCAATCTCTTGCTTATTATCCAATGGATGTGATGTTTTCATATCACACCATAGAAATCCACACATTGAGTGATAACTCTCTAAAACTATTGTCTTACAAATACACGACTGAGCCACAGCGTTGCACTTGAATAACAGGATCCTTCAATAATAAACAGTAATCTGCAGATGAAAATAGTTCACAACAAAAGCTCTTTTTAGTCTAGAGTGAGTAACTTTAAAAGCTACACTGCATAGCTGGTTTTCAGGTATTCATCCTAAATACATAAAAGATGTTTTTTTAAATGTGAGGTTGGGGGCTGAGAGCTGGACCTGTTAGATTTAAAGAAAATGTGCCATGTATTTCAGTGCTTTGCTTTAACAGGCACGTTGTTAACATAACTCACACTAGATAAAGAAATGAGGCAAAGCTTGTTTAAACAAGCCTTAAATGAGATCAAAGGTTTGCACGCTGGGTGTTAATGCAGATCACAGATCCATACCACAGTCATTATGAAAATATGAATTATAACTGAACCACTGTCGATGCACTTTTTCTACATGGAGCTACACACAAAGGTGTTTATGGGTCGCAATTTACTATCTTCTATGCTATCCCACATGGGAAAGAAATTAATAAAAATGGTAAATATTCATCCGTTGGATATATATAAAACTTATGTTTTATATATACGGTACCTTTCATAAGATATTATGTCTCACATTTCCTGACAAATCCTGAAATTGTACCCGTTTTACTTTTTTTTTTACTTTTTACTTATTTCAAAATCAATATTTTTATTCTTGCTCTCTAGAGCAGCTTTGTATGATTCAACGAATGCAATCCTTCCTTTTTCCACCGTTCTCCCGGCTCTAGATGCAACTTCCAACCCCACACCTTGCAACTGCATAGTGAGTCTTTCAGTTTCAGTCCCACTTCTAATATCACTCTCTGTGCACCTTCTTATGCTATTTCTATTACCCCATTTGTAAGCAGACATACTTGCATAGTGTGTAGTCCTTTAAGTACCTGTAATAGAATGTTGGATAGCCCCTTTTTAGCTACACTGCTACTACAACACAACATTTACTTCCTCACTTCCGTATCATTTTTTACCTTCTTGAACACCTTCCCGTTGCTTTGTCGCTCATCTTCCTCGCTAATCACCTCTCTTGTCCCAAGGCAGTCTCTGTGGGGGAACCTCATGGCTGCGTACTCGAACATCTTATCCAGTGTGTCCACTCCCGGATGTAGAGATGTGACCAGCTTCTTCATGGAGCTCACTGCTCGGTATGGTCCCTCTGGTTGTCCCAGGACCGAACGAGCTTTGGCTCTCTTGGCTCTCTCCTCCTCTGAGCCGTAGAAACTCCCGTCAGGTCTGGACACCCAGCTAAGGAGGTAGGAAGGTAGAAAGGTGATGACGGTGTAGATCCACACCATGAGGTGGAAGAGGAGCAGCAGCATGGGGTTCAGGTCCTCTTTCAGCTTCATCTTGGCAAAGCTGTGACAAGCAGAGAGAAGAGAGCGGGGAAGAAGTGCCTGCTAGTGCTGGTTCAGTTGCTCCCTTGTTTCTTCTGTTGCCTTCTCAATTCTCTCTTTCTGCTAATGCAATGCCCACAGCTCTGCAATACTCCTAAGAAAATATCCAGAACATGACATTAGAGGAAATTTTTAAACTAGTTTCAAAATTATGCTTGTGTCTACAACACTCCTGTGGTTTTCCAAGAGATTCATTCTGAAACTGAAACAAAGCACTGTCTCACATGTTCTCGCTGATAGTAAAGCAGAAGCTTGTTATTATGTTATTGGCAAGAGATGGTGTTACACACCGACTCTCTTACTCAAATGTTCCTTCCCCACCCTGTAACTCCTGTGTCCGGTGCACTCACGCCAAAGAAGAGAGCACATCAGTCAATGTCAGTCACTGTTAGTGTCGAAGACAGCAAAACAACACAGACAGATGAAGGGGTGAGGAAGGAGACCAGAGAGGAAATATAAGGAGAAACAAATCAAAAAGGATGGGGACACGTAGGAAGAAGTGAAAAAAGTAAAAAGGTCAGCTATAACAGACATAAACTACACTAACTGTGAGGTTTCTGAAAGTCTACATGTGGGCTGTGTGACAGGATTCAAGCAACTCGACAGAAGGAGATAGCCAAGCCAGGAGCAGATAAGAACAGGGAACAAGCTATAGCTCAAGAATCCACCCGTTAAACTCCATGATGTAAAATTTAGAGAGAATGTGATGAGGTTTGCGCAGAGGGACTACCTCACATCTACTTCACTGGGTAAAAGGTGGCTCTACTATGTGTGCGTATCTTTGAAATTTCACCTCATCCCTAGCTTCTTCTGACACACACAGAACAGATATGCACTTGGTGATGGAGACTGTAACCTACAGAAGATGAGTTTGGGAGCTATCCAGAGTCCTGAACAGAGATTAGCGTTAAGGTTATCTTACAGACTTCCTGGTAAGTGTAGTTCCCTATAACCCATGAAGGCAATTAGGCAACATTATCATGTCAATATAAAGGCGCCTTACCAATAGGTACCAGTTAGGCACAGTGTAAAGTGCCAATATCTAATTTTCAAGATAGATACAGAACCTGGTCAATGACCTAAAAAATAATAGGTTCAGCATGAATGTTTATTTCACACCATGAAGGAAAAA